ATAGACTAGACTATAGACTAGACTATAGACTAGACTATAGACTACTAAGACTAGACTATAGACTAGACTATAGACTAGACTATAGAACTAGACTATAGACTAGACTATAGACTAGACTATAGACTAGACTATAGACTAGACTATAGACTAGACTATAGACTAGACTATAGACTAGACTATAGACTAGGACTATAGACTAGACTATAGACTAGACTATAGACTAGACTATAGACTAGAACTATAGACTAGACTATAGACTAGACTATAGACTAGACTATAGACTAGACTATAGACTAGACTATAGACTAGACTATAGACTAGACTATAGACTAGACATAGACTAGACTCATAGACTAGACTATAGACTAGACTATAGACTAGACTATAGACTAGACTATAGACTAGACTATAGACTAGACTATAGACTAGACTATAGACTAGACTATAGACTAGACTAGACTAGACTATAGACTAGACTATAGACTAGACTATAGACTAGACTATAGACTAGACTATAGACTAGACTGTAGACTAGACTATAGACTAGACTATAGACTAGACTATAGACTAGACTATAGACTAGACTATAGACTAGACTATAGACTAGACTATAGGACTAGACTATAGACTAGACTATAGACTAGACTATAGACTAGACTAGACTAGACTATAGACTAGACTATAGACTAGGACTATAGACCTAACTATAGACTAGACTATAGACTAGACTATAGACTAGACTATAGACTAGACTATAGACTAGACTATAGACTAGACTATAGACTAGACTATAGACTAGACTATAGACTAGACTATAGACTAGACTATAGACTAGACTATAGACTAGACTATAGACTAGACTATAGACTAGACTATAGACTAGACTATAGACTAGACTATAGACTATGACTATAGACTAGACTATAGACTAGACTATAGACTAGACTATAGACTAAACTATGGAGAAACTGAGAAACTATAGACTAAACTATAGACAAAAACTATGGACTAAATTATAGACTAGACTATAGACAAGACTAGACTATAGACAAAACTATAGACTAGACTATACACTAGACTATAGACTAGACTATACACTAGACTATGCACTAGACTATAGACTAGATACTAGATTAGACTATAGACTAGACTATAGACTAGATTATAGACAATACTATAGACTAGACTATAGACCAGACTATAGACAAGATTATATGCAAGTATTTAGGCTTGACTGTAGACTAGATTATATACTAGTCTATAGACTAGGAACTGTAGACTAGACCAATCTACTTCACACCATTAATTTATAACTGCAACTATTAGAGCACTCTTTAAATTATAGACATATGCAGATATCAATTTGAGTCTGAGTGCCACTCTCCGCCACTATTTTGGGGGCGAATGTAACGAAATAAGACATCATACATACAACATTTTTGCCACAATCAATTGACATTTTTTATAGGTTTCTTTTGTAAAAAGGTACTCTTCCATCCATTCAGTCAGCCTTTCACTCAAAAAAAATCATAAAAAGAAAACAAACCTGACTCTTTCACCAAAGTATTTGTAAAGACAGGAAAATAAAACAGATTGAGTTTGTCGAAAAAAAAAACAAGCAACAGGAGGGGGAAAAAAATCCGCAATGACGCCGTTTTCTTTTTGAATGAATAAAAAATAAGAAGGACTTAAAACGGATATTGCTAAAGATTCAAAATTGTTTATTTGTACATTATAAGAACATATACACCACCATACATACTCCCATATGTACCCAACAGTTCGACTAACAGCCGCTAGTCTATTCCACTAACGGCAAGCCAAATGGTTGGCTCTAATTCGTTTTGCGTAAAGAATATACTCTTTGTAAACGAGTGTGAAGACTATCGTCACTTTAGTGTACCTTTGGCAAATGAGAGCGTAGATATTCATCAGTTTACAGTATCCAAGTAATCTAGAGAGTGGACAATTAAAAAACAAATGTATTGCAAAATGTTCATTGCTGTGCATTGTCTCGTTTGGATTAGATTTCTGACTTACTCTTAGTGATCTAAGAAATGGCAATTGACTTCCTACATAGTATTAAAAGACGTCTGTGACTTAGTGGTAACCCTAAGAGGTAGGTTAAATAGGTTGTTCGGGACTGTCCGGCCGAACATCTAGGTTCTTATAAGAGCCCGGCAATTTGAATAGCTGTTAGTGTCTATTTAGCGCTAGCTACCACACTTGTTACCTAGCATTTCGATATTTTGTTTTTATTAAAAAGATTATATCGAAATCAGTTTGATACTGGTAGTAGTTCATCTTTGAAAACCGTTTCATAAACTGCCGGGTAGTTTTACTTTTATATGTATGTGTGTATTTTTGCACATGTATTATGTATGGTTATTTTCCTTCACTTATGAGTGCTTCAAATTTTATTTTTTCTCTCTTACTTTCCTATAATATTTCAACATTTTCGTTTTTTATGTTGCATGTGTCAATATAATTTTGAAGGGGGTTGGAAAGATATACATACATATGGATGAATGAATGGATGTTTATACAAATTCTTCATGATAAAAAGAAGGCTCATTGACATGACTGACTGAAAGCAAACAAACACAAAATACAGAAAAAAATATAAAGTCAAATCGCTGTCAACAATATGCTACAAAAAGGGTTAACTGCCATCAAAAATTTTTTTAATTTTTTTTATACAAACAATTTTTATTCTGTTTTTTATAACCAAAATCAAACTTTGTTTAACATTATTAAAAAAAAATTTGGTTTAAAATATTGTTGATAACAAAATTTTGTTTACATGCATTAAAGGCTTGTCTATGGAAAAAAGTGAAAAAAGAGATAGAAAATTTCATCAAAATTTATAGAAAAATTATTTGTGACAAAATCCGTTTATTAAATTGGCTTTAACTACCTTTTTAATAAGTTTACTTTTTTATGCTACTTTTTTATATTTCCTAGAAAATTTTTAACGTTATTGGTGTATTGACATGATGGACAAGATTTTGTTAGCTGCTGATTTTAATTGAAGGTGAAATTGTTAATATTGATTGTAATTTTTGCCACAAGTTACAAGGGTTTATGTTAATTTGCCAACAAATCCCCTTTTAGCTTTCAGAAATACCAAGAAAAATACAAAATACTTTCTCAACACCAAACTGAAGGAAATGTTTGTGTCAATTAAAGTTATTAAAATCGTGAATATTGAAAAAACATAGGTTAATCTAAATTTGAGCATAATCTTAAAAGGTTATTTTGATGATGTTTTTTTTATGAAATACTTGCTAAACCCAGTCTGCTTCGCTATCCTAAAAACAATATACATAAATAACAAGTAAGAAAGTATAGTCGGGCTGGTGACCATATGATACCCTACATCAGTTTTGAATATTAAATGTAATTTATTTTGCATAATAAAGCATTTATCTTGAATATTACCTTGATTCCGAAAACTTATTTTCTAAAATAGCCTTTATATGGGGGATAGGAGCAAATGTGGACCGATCTCGATAAAATGGGCTGCGTAGATTTGTATTTATATAATATTTGTCTGTGCCAAATTTCATTGCAATAACAGTGTTAATAAACGAATTGCTGTTGATATTCAAGCCACTTTCTGAAGGGGGCTTTTTATGGGGGCTAGGATTAAATGAAGCCCGATTATTTCGAAATTCGGCAAGGTGATCAACACTTGTATAAAACTTAGTTGTGCGAACTTTCATCGAGATACATTTATATTATACATAGTTATGGGCTCAAAAACCCTTTTCAGGGTGTTCAGTTGTTTGGGGGCTAGGTGAAATAATAGACCGATTTTAACCTTGAGCCAAAATAAACGTGTATTCCAAATTTCATCGAATTATCTTGAAAGTGATTCTGAGTCGATCGGTATACTTTAATGTGGGTATAGTACTAATATTTTAATGCGCTACAAACATCGCTAGCAATATTAAACGTTGGATGTGCCACACTCACTATTATTAGTTCGCCTACTTTTTACCCGAATGCTCATATAGGTGTCAAAGTTATCCGTGCAAAATTTAAGGACTCTAGTTGTAGCAGTTTGCAAGATATACGACTTTTAATAGTTATTTAGAAAGAGGGCGTGGCAACTCGCCCACTTTCAGTTTTAACATAAAAAGTAGCTTACCTTATTCTATAAACTCCGCTTAAAATAGATATCTCACCCTTTCTCTTACAATTGGACCTACTGTGCGGAAGTTAAATTTATACTGACGGCTAGTGCTTTTCCGTATTTTATTGCTTCTCCATGTTTTATTATATTTCTTTTATATCTACTATATATTTGTTTTTATATATTTTATTATTGACACTTTAATATTTAACAGGTGTATTGATATGGAAATCAAAAGACATCTTTTCCTTTCATATACACCAAACAATCGAGTAAAAAACAAACAAACAAACACAAGTAAATAAAAGGAATGTTTATGGGAATTTTAAAAAGCATTCAGTTTTTTTCACTTTCAATACTCTTACAAATAAAATAAAAAATAGAATATTGTGCGTTACACTGCGAAACTGTAATATGGTTGAAGGCATACAATGTGTAAATGTGTAAATATTGCAATATTGGAAATCGTAAACAATTGGCAGTCACTATATTGGTATATTACAGTAACTGAGCAAGAACAAAAGGAATAAAATTATTAACAAAAAAAAATATATATAAAGCAAACCTACAATAAAAATCCAACAGAAACAATCAAAGCCTACAAATACAACAACATAATATTTTATGAGATTCTTTTTTTTTCTCCAAAAAGTACTTGTATTATTTGTATGTATTTTGGTATACATTCGTATAGGTAAGATAAATTTATAAAAATTCTACATATAAAAAGAAATTGTAGGTCATTAAATCGAAAATATTTTGTAATATTTTATTGCCAACACAACGTTAAGGCACGTGAAGTTTTATTTATTTCAACTAAAAAAAAAAGGATTATTATAAAATAAAGTGAATTTTCTTATAGCTCTACTTTTATACATACACTCACACCATGCAAATATTTTATGTATTTACTTTGGTGTTGGTAGTGTTAGCATCTCTTTATCCTTTGTCCAGTGCCCAACAGAGTTGTAACTTAAGAAATTGTAGTCGTACAAATGTTGAAATATGTACCACAAATGGTCGACAGTGTAGACGTTTTTCTAATGAATGTTCTTTAGTAAGTGCAAATTGTAATGCCACATTAGCAACAGGTAAGTGAATGAATATTCTTTTGCAAATTGTATTACACCATTTCCGGGAGATATAAGGAATTTTAAAGGTGTTTAAAAGCGTTTATAACAAATAAAAAAGGATAAATATTTGTTAAATTTGACAGTTTAATTACACCTAACCCCCGTTTCACATGGTTGACTTGTTCCCTACAAAAGTTCAAAGAGTTTGAACAAAATGACTTCGAACATCTGAACCAGGCAAGGAAAATTGAGATTTTAATAATAGTACTAACTTTTTCGAAATAAGTACTTCTTTAGTACTAAATTACTTGTCAGTTTTTTAACTTATTGACAGATTAGTCTATAGACCAGTTAATATACTATTCTGTAAACCAATCTATAAAGTAGTCTATTAAATACTCTATGCACTGAATCCATGCTTATCATTACGAAATAATTTCGCAACTACTTTTTGTTCGTAATATTTACAAAAATTTCGTGCATAATACGAAATATTATTTAATCAAACGTTTTTCTAATAATGCACGAAAACCTTTTTGTTATATATTTTTACGTATATATTAAGAAAGTTTGTTTTATTTTACAAAAATAATTACGTTAGGGCATATGACAATTAACGAAAGTAAAAAAATCGTAACAAAATTATTTCGTAATGTATAGGAATACTTATTTCCTTATTTTCTGAATTACGAATATCGGGAGTATGATTTAGACTTATATAAAACCACGTTATATTTTTGTAGAGATACTAGAACATTTAACATAATTAAGAGCTCAAAAGCCCTATTCGGGGGTACGGTTGTATGGTGGCTAGGCGAAATAATGAACCGATATTAACCACTTTCAATATCTCGAACATTGCGACCTGTAGCGTGGGCACAAGGTTTACATAGACACAATGACGGACATACAGACAGACAGACATACAGACTTTGATTTTCATAAAAAAATTGCAATAATATCCAATGTTCCATTTTTTAGAAAATAATCATACATATTAGCGAATTTTTATGAAAAATAAACAAAAATATTGAAAAAGAAAATATGAAATAAAAAACATCAGCAAATATAGATAAACATCCATTCTTCAGACAATCCCGCAAGTTACGCGCATATTTCATTGTTTTCAATCTAAAAATCATAAAGAAATAAAAAATTTTCCAAAGAAAATTTCAAACATTTTTTAACAAATAGAAAAATAGAAAGAAAATTTTTAAATTTTTAAGTCAAGGCTTCTAGATTATGTTTAAAAAAATAAAAATTAAAAAATTCATACAATTTAGGAACTTATTCTTAAATATTATTAACTATAGTCAATGAAAGCTGTTCACAATATTTATGCTCAAACTTTTTTCTGTGTAATTTTCAAAAACATTTCATAAAATAAACGAATTTTTCCTAAAATTATTTTTCATTGTACTAAAATCTGTCATACAATTTCGTATATATTACGAAACATTTCGTACAATGTAAGACATTTTTCGTATATATTGGATTATTTTCAGTGTGGAGTAGTCTAGATTACTCAACCTACTAGACTATTGACTAGTCGTTGAACTGGTCTATTAACTAGTCTATGAATTAGTCCTTGGACTGCTATATTGACAAGTCTATGGACTAGCTTATGAACTACTCTATTGAGTAGTCTACGAACTAGACAATGGACTGAACTATTGACTAGTCAATGGATAAGTCTGTTGACTGATCTGTGGACTACTCTTTAAACTGGTCTATTCGCTAGTTTATGAGCCATTCTATTGTCCAGTTCAATATCTATTGATAACTATATGGCTACAAAAGCTAACACTATAAAATAGTACTTAGTATATCCTTCAATGTAAACAGTACTAAGAAAAGTGCATGTGTACTCAATTTTCCATGCCTGATCAGAAACCTTTCGCCGGCAGTTAACTTGATCCTATTTTCGGACAAATATATCATTAAACAACTTTCTGTACACGGAAATGGTGTAGAAAATCTATTTACTAGCAATAAATTTCTAAACAATTTTTCTATTAACATCCCTTCAAATGCATCTGCAGTATGGAATCAAACGGATACAATACAATGCTTAAACTTAAGTGTAAATGCAACGGGTGCCTGCTCTTGTCCAGCATTAAGAACTTGTTCGAATCAAACGACAGCCACAGGAATTTGTGTACATCGAGATGGTCATGCATGTCGTTTATTTAGAACAGAATGTGATTTGGTTAGAGCTCGTTGTAATAGAGAAGGTAAGTCCACAAAATTACAAAAGAACTACTCAATATTATGAACATTTGGAAAAAAAAACACTCCTTTCATTAAACATGTTTTTTCTTTCATTACATTTTTAGATTAAAGGATTTAAAGCTGATAAAATTTTGTTTATAAATCTTAAATCATTGAGTTTTATTTTAGAAAAGTTTTTTATAACCAAAACTTTTTATTTCGTTTAGTTTGGCGCAATATTGACATCATGCAATGTCGTGGTTTTACATTCAATCAGACTAGAACCTGTACTTGCCCTAAAAGTTTACTATGTTCTCGAAACGAAACACAACTCTGTGTTGCAACTAGTGCAAACAATTGTCGGTTGTATGGTAACGAATGTGATCTAGAAGGCGATAGATGTCAGGGACAAAGTAAGTTTAAAGATCTTTCTACTTTCATATCAAAAAATTGGGTTTCTTACTTTTAGGATTAATGGATGTCAACAATTTACATTGCCAAAGATTTGAAGTGGGTGCCAATGGTACTTGCACTTGTCCTAATCTGCTTCATTGTCAAAGAAATGTCACCAATATATGTGTAAGAAATGCTGCTAATCGATGTCAATTAATGACCAGTCAATGTGATTTGGAACTGCAAAGATGTAGAGGAACTTGTAAGTTTTAAGAACATTACTTTTTTTGGGGTGTAAAAAGTGATAATCATTTTTGAATAATTATAGCTTTAATTAATACCTTGGCTGTACAGTGTCGCAATATAAGACCTGGTGAAACGGGAGATTGTGCTTGTCCCTCTTTGGTAAGCTGTTCAGCTAATCGTACAAATATTTGTGTACGCACCAGAGTGGGCTGCCGTATTAAGACAAACGAGTGTGAATTGGAACGTTCTAGGTGTTTGGGGGAAGGTAGGTTTTATATATTTCTTTTAAAACTAGTATTCAATATTTTCTTTACTTAGTGGTCACCCCTATTACCCAAATTCAATGTAGAAATCTTACTCCCGGTGCTGGTGGACCTTGCGCTTGTCCACGTTTGGAAACTTGCAGTCGTAATGTGACCAATATTTGTATACGATCAGAGGGCGGATGCATGCTATTAAGCAGTGAATGCGATTTGGAACAGGCTCGTTGTGAGGGCAGAAGTAAGTATTTGTTTATACATATTATCTTATATTAATTAAGTTTTTCTTAAGATATTACGATTGTTGATGCTATCCAATGTGCTAACTTTACTGCAAATCAATTGAGAAATTGCTCCTGCCCTAATATGGGCATTTGCTCTGCCAGCTCCCCTAATTTGTGTGTTGCCTTGTCTTCTACGCAATGTAGACTCATGCCAAATCGCTGTGAATTGGAAAAGGCCAGATGTCAAGGAGAAGGTAAATATTAAAAAAATACTAGAAATATGCGGAGATGATTTTAGATTAGGTTTAGATTAGGATTATTTGTTTTCGTTTGTGGATCAGATGCTTAAATAGAATCAATAATACTCTCCAATGATCATGAACTTTTAAATTTGAAAGCATTAAGCGCATATTAGGAAGTTGAACTTCTGGAGAGTTAAGCTTTCACATATTTGAGAGAAATGAGATTGACGTTATCCTTATTATACAACATTTTGGTGCTCCATAGAATTCTAAGACTTCGATACTATACTCTAATTCCAAGGTTTGCGCTGAATTTCGGGAAATAACGTGTTACCTCTGTTTTAATTAAGAGGTGAGGAGGTAGTCGAAGCGTCATGGTGTTTAATCAGAAATGGCAATGATTGATCAGGAATCGTTTAGAAACGAAACTCTAAAAGAAAGTTCTGAGTCCGATCTGGGAAATAGTACAATTAGATGCCATGAACTTCAGGAGCTACTGATTATAAAACCAGTGAATCCAGAGGGTTTCCACACCAGAAACTGAATGGGTTTTCAGACTAGAAACATAATGAAAATAATCATTGGTGTATGATTTAAATAATCAGAATTGTTGAATTCGAAAAGGATCCTGGCAGTCCGAGTTTTAGGAGTTGAAACTTGGTGTCTTCTAAAGTTACGTACAGTGAGAACAGTTGGATTAATTCCGGGCTATATATGCAAAATAATCTAAAACTATAAGCATTCATTGATCTCTAATATATACTAAGAGCTATTTGCATCCGAAACATCTTAAATTCGGCCGATTAAATTTTCTGATATAAAAAAAGTATTCCTTTTAATCTAAAACAATTTTTTCCTTTCCAAAATAAGCTCTAACCATCGCCAGTCCCCTGCAATGTCGGGGCTTACGACTAAACATCACAAGCAACTGTTTCTGTCCTCGTCTTACAAGCTGTTCCAGAAACACTACCAATATTTGTGTACGCGAGAACAATAATGCATGTACTCTAATGAGAAACGAGTGTGAATTAGAACAAGCGATATGTGAAGGCAGAGACATAACAAGAGTGGACAATATACACTGTAGAAATTTTACGTCCAACGCCAGAGGTACATGCTACTGTCCCAATTTGGCAACATGTAATCGTAATTCGCCAAGTATTTGTGTCATAAACTCAACACAATGTCTGCTGGTAAGAAACGAATGTGAATTGGAACAAGCTAAATGTGAAGGAAATAGTAAGTGAAATTAAAACACTTGTTTAAACAAATTATTTTTAATTCATCTATATTTAGATCTCATTACAACACACGCGACTCAGTGTTTAAATTTCCGAATAAATCAACAAAGCAACTGCAGCTGTCCCAATTTAATAACGTGTTCTCAAAACTCCAGTAGAATATGTGTAAGAACACGTGCTGGTTGTAAACTTTTAACAACACAATGTGAATTGGAAGAAGCCAGATGTAGAGGAGAAGGTATTAATTGTATTTATTATATAATGTAATACATATTGCTTAATTGTATTATTTAATTTAGTTTTAAGAACTATGGATTCCATTTACTGCCAGGGTTTTCGAAATCATGAAGAACGGGAATGTTTCTGTTCTAATTTAGAAACCTGCTCACGCAATACCACTAATATTTGTGTAAGAAATTCCCCTATGAATTGTACTTTATTAAGGAATGCTTGTGATTTGGAAGAGGCTAGATGTCGGGGGCAAGGTAATATAAACTTTGAAGAATAAACTACGAGGAATACATAGTAAAAATTTAATCTGTTCTATATTACAGCTCTTACAATTGTATCCAATTTGCAATGCCGAAACTTTAGCTCTAATATTTCTCGCAGATGTTTGTGTCCCAATTTGTTTAATTGTTCCACAAATGCCACCAGTACTTGTGTAAAACTTAGAATAGGCTGTAAATTGCTAAGAAATCAATGTGAACTGGAAAACGAAAGATGTCTAGGACCTGGTAAATAATGTTAATTATATATCCCTTATTCAATATAAAACATTTCTTTCGTTTTTATTAGTCCAAGTTATGTCACCTTTACACTGTTTGGGTTTTACAATTGGCCAAACACGCCAGTGTAGTTGTCCTCAATTGAAAACCTGTTCTCGTTCTGATGCCAATATTTGTGTAAAAACTAGCTCAGGTTGTAGAATAATGAGAAATGAATGTGAATTGGAACAGTTGAGATGTAGGGGTCAAGGTAAGTTTCTTATATAATATTTTCTGAAGTTTTTCATAAATTATTTTATATAATTTTTCTTTTAGATCTCACAGTTTTACCAGCTATACAGTGCAAACGTTTGCAGGTGGGCTCTGAGGGTCCCTGTGCTTGTAATAACTGGTTAAATTGTGAACGAAATTCAAGTAGTGTTTGCATAAATACGCTCCAAGGTTGTAGATTGCTGCAAAATCAATGTGATTTGGAAGAGAGAAGATGTCGTGGTGAAGGTAAAGCTGATTTTTTTAATGCAAGTAATTTTTATCTTGGTTTAAGCACTAGAGACCTCAGCTGTAGAAAATTGTATCTCCTCAGTGCAAAATATTGTCTGGTCTGTATTTTCAGTGGGACATTGATGGGAGTATTTCCTTGAAGTCATATACAAGCATTGTACTTCTGACTTTAGAAGGGAAATAGGCTCATATAAATATAAATATATTTACAAAATTTTATCGGGCTTGGTCCATATTTGCCCCTAGCCCCCATATAAAGCCTCTTTCAGAAAATTGGTTTTTCATCCATAAATTGCTTAAATGTATCGGAACAAGGGAATATTGAAGATAAATGGGATATTATGAAAAATAAATCACATTTAATATTCATAACTGGTGTAGGGTATCATATGGTCGGCCACGCCCGACTATACTTTCTTACTTGTTTTAATTTGAAAATTTGTAGTCCAGAACCTTTTAGTGATTGAATTCAAAGACCACTGCAGACGTGTTTATGAACAGATAAATGTTTCAATAGTTTTTTGAGGATCTTCACGAAGATAAAGTAATAAAGATTATGGTTTCGGAATGAATCTTCTTTAGTACCAAATCGAAGTTCCTATAAAGTGGATCATCAATTAACAAACTAGTAAGGACATAATTTATCTCACGTATATCACGTGAGTTTAGAATAAAATATCAAGTTAATTCAAAAGAAACATGAAAAGTTTCTAGACTAGAAATTTCGCAAATCAAATAGTTAAACTTGTTTTATACTTTTAAGTTCTCCCGAACTCTAACTGTAATAATTCATGATATGTCTACCGTTTTTTAGCATTCAATGTCACTAATACATTGCAGTGCCAAGGTTTCTTACCGGGTCAATTAAGAAATTGTGCTTGTCCCGATCTGAAAACATGTTCGCGCAATAACTCCACCATGACATGTGTTCGAAATCTGAGTAACTGCAAACTTATGGCAAATTCTTGTGATTTGGAAATGGCAAAATGTAGGGGAGAGAGTAAGTTTTAAATTACAAGAAATATAAAACCAAAAAAATTTAAATTTTTCAAATACAAACAGGATGGTGTGCAGCAGATTTAGAAGAATGTAAAAATTTTACTATAGGACAACAAGCTACATGTAGCTGTCCTCGTTTGCAGACCTGCTCACGTAGTAACACAACCAATGTTTGCGTAAACTTAAGAGGAGCCTGCAGGCTAATGAGAAATCAGTGTGAATTGGAAAAGGCCAGATGTAAGGGGCAAGGTAAGTTAATTACAACTTGATGGTAAAATTTGTAGAAACATTCTTTATTTCCTTAGCCTGGAGACCTACCGACTCTATACAGTGTCAAAATTATAGACCCAATGAATGGCGCTGGTGTGCCTGTCCACGTTTGCTTAATTGTTGCAATCGGTTGCTACCGTTTTGTGTCAGAGGACCTAATGGCTGTAAAATGATGAGCACAGATTGTGAGTTGCAAATGGCTAGATGTAGGGGAGAAGGTAAGTTAGTACTTAACCGAAATTTAATATTCATAATAAAAATTTGTGTTTCTTGAAGTTTGGTCTAGAACCGATGATCTACAGTGCAGAGGTTTAGAATTGGGCCAGCTTGCTCAAACATGTCGTTGTCCCAAATTGGAAACTTGCCAACAAGCGTCTATAACAAACACATCCACTCAAGTTTGTGTGAGAAACATTAAGGGTTGTAAACTTTTACGCAACGATTGTGAATTGGAACGTTCTCTTTGTAGTGGAGAAGGTGTTTGGAATAGTTGTTCTTGGATTAAATTAGAACTTGATTAATATTTTCTTTGTTATAGTGTGGACCCCAGTGGATAATTTGCAATGCCTTAACTTCACGCTACACTCTACAAGATCTTGCCGCTGTCCTGCTTTAGATACTTGCTCCAATACAACGAGGGTGTGTGCTAAAACGTTACGGAATCAATGCTATAATTTCAGATCAGAGTGTGATTTAAGGTGGGCTGAGTGTGAGGGAAAACGTAAGTGAGATGTTTAAAGAATTATAACTTTAAATCTAGTCGTAGAAGTTAAAATATTGCTGATTTAGAAAAACTATATGTTTATCTAAAGTTCAGTTGGAATCCGCTGCAGGCTCTTAACCGAAGAAGTTATTAAATATTTTTATTTATTTCTGTCTAGAATTCTCCCTAACTGTGCCGCAAAGATGTCACGGCATACGGGTAGACGATTACGAAGAATGCAAATGTCCTGAGAGTCGTAACTGTAATCGTAGACTACGAGTGTGTGCACGCCGGGGTACACAATGTCGACTTTTCAGGAGTGATTGTGATTTTAGAACATCTTCATGTCGAGATGAAAGTAAGTTTTTCGAAGTCATAAAAATCGGATGATACGGATATCTTTTTCCCCTTTATCAGCTTGGCGTCGTACCTCCCTAGGAAATTGCTGTGATTTTCAAGTGAATGATGTTAAAAATTGTACTACAGCCTTGAATCCAGTTGTTTGTGGTGAAGCCTCACATAATAGATGTCGTCTATTTGCATCAAGATGTGATTTTAACAGAGAAAATTCTAAAAGTAATAATGGTAAGTAGTTGAAAATATAAAAAGGGAAAAATCTCTTAAAAAATCCTTTACAGAATGGTCTTCAGTTGAACGTTCCAATTGCAAGTGCCTACGTAGTGGTCGCACTGGTAGGTGTACTAGACGCTTTGTCTGTAAACCACCCACACCTCGTACACGTAGAGTTTGTGGTCGTCATGGCTTAACTCACCAGATGTTTGAATCTCAATGTCATCTCAGGTTACACAATTATCAAAGATGTACCAGTAAGTATAAGGGTATTCTTTTGGAAATCATTTTTATGGATTTTTTATTTTATATATTTAATTTACTATTTTAAATTATTTGCATTTAATTTTGTTCAGATTTTAGACCGGTTCGAGCCAGACTATGTCGCAGAAATGATGATTGATTTTGTTATTGTTAATAAAATAAGAAAAAAATAAATTCGATCTATATAATTTTAAAGTTTTTATTAATCAAGTTTTATTATAATTCTTAATTTTTTCAAAGTTTTATAAAACAGAATTACCATTTTAAAATTTGTTTTATAGAACTTTAAGCGCATTTAACTGGTATTTTTACAAATTTTGGAGCTTCCACTTTGTGATCAGAAAAGACAAACTCGAAAAATATTCCACTCTATTTATTCTGTAAAGGTAAAGAACCCTTTTTAATGATCACGCCATTTACCCCTTTCATCTGTCCATGTCAATCTTATAAAGTAAATTTAAAACATATTTCAATGAAATTTTACACATTTTTATCATATTGATCCAAAAGGTTAACTGTATGTGATTTATAAGAAAACGAACTATGATATTACTGCCTTCCGAATTATCGCCTATGATCTGGCAACCATACATAATAAGTATTCTCACATAAAGATGGCAACTACAAATAATAATCATTCTCACATGCAGATGTCATCACAACAAGAATGTCAAAATAAGAAAAAAACATTTAGTTTTATAAAATTTTTAACACGGTTCGTGTCGTTGTCCTTGAAGTATTTTGAAAAAAGTGATTTATAGTGTAATAAAATAAATATAATTAAAAGAAAAATGCTTTATTTATGTAAGTGCCAGCTAATTGATCGATATGTAAAGTGTTTACGATATAAAAATGAAGAAAAAATTAAAAAATAAATGTGATAAAAATGCCGGCCAGATTATAATTTTTGAAGTAAATTAAAGCAAAAATGTTATAAATTATCAGTAATAAGTAAATGTGATATATAAAATAATATATAAAATCTAATAATATTACTAAATCTTTGTAATGTTTTTCTTAAAAAATTTCTTAAACCTCGTGTCGTTTTCGCTTTTCTTTTGTTTTTAATTACGAATTACTTTTTTAAGAATTCTCTTGTTGTTGTTGATTTCATAACTATATGCAAAAAAATGCAATGTAAAAACAAGAACAAGAAAAAAATCAAAACAAAGCTTGGTGAAGAGAATTTATGCATTGAGAGAGAGAGAGAGTTTTATTATTATGCATTGTTGTTTTTGTGATATTAATATAGAAGAAAGCAATGTTCAATTGCAAGCACCAGAAAATAAAACTGTTTGTTAAAAACATTGATATAAAAGGTAAGAGAGCCTAAAATATTATAAAAATTAATGTGCAATTATAAGTTTCTCAATTAAAATTACTATTCGAAATGATTATGAAGTATTGTGGTGGGTACTTTTGATATTTTTCGATTATTTGATGGAATTTAAAACTTATGTTTTATAATTTCTTAATTAAGTCTTCATCATCGATGAACTAAATTTGGAAAAGGGATAAACCACAGCCCTATCATTGCCTTTTCTCCGTGCGAATGTCGTGGGTCAACCAATGACACTTATTTATACGAAAAAATGGCCGATGATTTCAAAATTTTGTTTAGATTAATATCGCCTCGTAAAGCTCGTGATATACTTTCTAAACGTAGTTTTGTATACCCTATGTGAAATGGATAGGGCAGATTTAAAATTCACAACCATGGTTGGGTCTGTTTGGAGGTCCTAATGGCAAATGAAGTAGCCGTTCATCGGTCTACCCTAGGTGCTGTTGCCAAAGCAGCAGAGCCATCTCAGTAGTTACGCGGTCCTTAAGAGGTTGAGGAATGACTGCATTATTTTCATGGGATCAAGGGGTGTTTTACCTTCTGACATAGGATACCAGAAGTCTGTTAACCTGTTGTTGGGTACGCCCTTTGTATTGCCATTAAATTATAATAAACTAATTAGTTATTGTTTCAACATTGTTGGGATTTATCTTGGGATTGGTCTTGCCGTGGAGCGTCTATCGTCTACTCATTGGATGCAAAAATCCACAGTGGGAATAAACCGTAGGGGCAGGTACTTGCGTAAAACATACAGATATCTCTTACAGTTATCAAGAAGGTAAAGGGTATAAAAATATTTGTGATCGGAACGTAATTTACGAATTTCACTTTTTTTAATATGATGATTGTGTACATAGTTTTGCTATTTTTTAATATTTTTAATTGAAACTGTCGATTTTAGGCAATTCTGATAAAAAACGACGTCTCTTCCAAAATATGAGTATTTACAGATTTTTACTATGATCTCAATCGAAGCGTTATTTAAGGATCCTCAACCGATTTTTATATCATTCACCTTCGTGAGAAGGGTATATATAAGATTGTCATTCCTTTTGTAATTTCCACAATATAAATCTCCGATAAAGTATATATATTCTGGATCTTTATATATAGCGGAGTCTTCCTGTCTGCCTGTCTGTCATATTTCGTGACAATCTCTTCAGTATTTTTTCTCTATGTTGCTTACATAAAGGGGGGTGTTAACTAATCAAGATATAGTATAGACTCTAAGGTACATAGATCCCCAGTCTTCAAATCTTGTGCATTTATGCACTTATAAATGACCAACAGCATTTTTAAAATTTTTATTGTTTTCTTTTATTTCGTTAATGTTTTTAAATAAAATTTTCCAGTATAAACATTTTATTTAACAAAATAACAACGCCCTTAAAAAATTATACCCATTACATAAAACTCAAAAAACATAAAAGGTGAAGCACTTTACATCCGTTTATAGCAGACATCCGTTTCCTTTTTATATTCTTAAAAAAAACACACACATACAAACAAAACATTTATGAATACAATATTTATATGGAATCACCTACAAAAACTACCAACCGACCAACTCTACAAGCACATAAGGACAGTAAAAATTTACAGAAAAAGAAGTTAAAAAGGAAGCATGTTGCAAACAAAAAAATGTTTAAAAGGAATAATTGATGAAACAGAAGACACGCTATATTGAAATGTAAAGTAGAGATTTGAAAGTAATATTACTTCTTAAGATCAATTTTTGTTAGACCTCGAGACGCTGAGATTTCTTAGTATTCTTTATGAAAACGTTGAGGAGAAAATTTCGATTCATATCGCGAATGTGAATGGGAATTTTCACGATTGACACGAAGTATCAACTTTACTTTCCTTTAACCTTTGATAGGGTGCAATATTTTAAAATAAAAAATTTAGCTCATGTACCTTACATACTTCAATGGGAAACAAAGGTATTGTAAAAGTAACAAAAAATGCAGTAAAATAATTTTAAAGAAAATTATAAAACAAAAACCAAATTATGCGGATTTTTCTCATTTTAGATATATTAAAGTAACACTATAAATTTGGAATATGTCGAATGAAATCATAAAAACCTTTTTATATCTCTTCAATAAATTCAGATTTTTAGGGTGATTTACATATTTTTTATAAAGCAAAACCAAAATTAAATTTTAGAAATAGATCATTCAGATTTTTAATAAAATAAATAAAATTTCTGTAAATATTTTATACCAAAAACAATTTATTTATTTAAACTCCTACTTATATTTGTGGCAAGTCGTTTAATTTTTTTCTTCATCCTTATATCATGAAATTTTATAAAAATATTTATTTAAGATATTTCAATAAAATACATACAATATTTGTAAATCAATTTCCTATTTGTCTTGACTTGTCTAAGTTAAAAAGATCCCAAAAAAAGATTTTCTTATTTATTTTAAAGAATTTAATTTATTTAAACATTTTTTTAAACTCTTATTAGATTTTTATTTCTTACCATTTTACATTTGCTAACCTTTTCTTTTTCAATTTAAATTCATGTGTTACATGTGTAAAAAGCAGGAAATATTTCATTTACATTTTCACATGTAAATCACCTTAGAAATTTCAATATAAATGCTTTTTCTATTTCGAATTTGAGAAGAAAAAAAAAAGGTAAAATGAATGCCAACCACCTACAAAACACATGCATTTTATTTAAATATAAATGAATGTATAAATAACTTGTTAACAGACAGTTTATACATATCGGAGGATTAAATAGGAATTACTACTAAAACTAAGAGTAAAAAACTAACATTAGGGGGATAAAAGTTTTCAACTGCAGTTTAGAAGACTAAATTTTAAGTTCCATTAATAAAAAATGGATGATGGACTTCACCAATGTGATTAGGTACTTTGAAATCGAAAAGAAAGTTACCCACTTAATGTAGATATTCGTTTGCTATAAGTATGTATGTAACTAAAATGTAAAAGTAAATGAATTTAATATAAAATATGTAAAAAATAAATTAGAATTGATGTCGTAAGTGTTTAAGTTATTTGGAATTACTCAATGCATATATTAAACTTGTTATTTTTACCCGGCGTTGTCCGGTTTCTAAAAATAAAAACCAATACTTGTTGTGTTACTTGTATAATTTGTTTTCTGGAATGCAAAATGTTATGAATAAATTAATAAACTAGACTATAGTCTATAGTCTAGTCAATAGTCTAGTCAATAGTCTAGTCAATAGTCTAGTCTATAGTCTAGTCTATATTCTAGTCTATAGTCTAGTCTAGTCTATATTCTAGTCTATAGTCTAGCCTATAGTCTAGTATATATTCTAGTCTATAGTCTAGTCTATAGTTTAGTATATAGTCTAGTCTATAGTCTAGTATATAGTCTAGTCTATAATCTAGTCTATAGTCTAGTCTATAGTCTGGTCTATAGTCTAGTCTATAGTCTAGTCTATAGTCTAGTCTATAGTCTGGTCTATAGTCAAGTCTATAGTCTAGTCTATAGTCTAGTCTATAGTCAAGTCTATAGTCTAGTCTATAGTCTAGTCTATAGTCTAGTCTATAGTCTAGTCTATAGTCTAGTCTATAGTCTAGTCTATAGTCTAGTCTATAGTCTAGTCTATAGTCTAGTCTATAGTCTAGTCTATAGTCTAGTCTATAGTCTAGTCTATAGTCTAGTCTATAGTCTAGTCTATAGTCTAGTCTATAGTCTAGTCTATAGTCTAGTCTATAGTCTAGTCTATAGTCTAGTCTATAGTCTAGTCTATAGTCTAGTCTATAGTCTAGTCTATAGTCTAGTCTATAGTCTAGTCTATAGTCTAGTCTATA